TATATATATACACACACATAGAATAGTAGAAAAGGGCAAAATGGAGAAACTATATGATATTGTATGCGAACTCGAATCCTGTTGATCACCTTGCTCTTGTTGCTGTTCCTGTTCGTAGATGTAAATTCTTTCAATCATGTTCCTTTAATTTGAAAGAGCAAGCGTATTCAAATTTGTCAAAAGGAAAAATCAGTACTCAAGATTAGCAATTTAAAAGAAAAATGGTTGGTGGTGGTGACTATTGATGTGATGTGGCACGTACTTAACAATATCAAAGAATTTAAATATAATGTAATTTGATTTAAATATGAAACAAAGAATAACTGATTTAAATGTACACCTGATTTTTGAAATTAATATGTTTTTACCTGAAATTTTAACTTCATCTCCTAAATGTTGTCTAATTGTGTTATTTTTCCATATTAAAGTTATATGTCATATGCTAAAGACCTCCAACGTTACGGTAGCATACTTTACGTTAGACTAACGTGGAAGTCATCAAATAGAATAATTGATCTTAAACTAATTTTGAGAAAGAAAAAAAAAAATTTGGAAAAATTTTATCTAGCTGACATAGCAATATTTATGAACAAGCATATCAATAATCCGACCTAAATTAAACAATTGCGACATGATATTAAATCAAGCCATGCTTGAATAACCTGTTTAGAGCTTGTTTTGGAGAGATTTATAGAAAAGAAAAATGATTTTATTTATTATTATTATTATTATTTTTTTTTTTGAAAATTTTAGAATTAAAAAGTAAGGAAAATTTTGTAGACCCCATATGATATTTAGTTTGAAATTGATTTTGGGGGCAAATAGTTTTCAAAAAATCATTCCCAAACAAGATCCTAATGCTAGTTGTTCTACAGAAGTAGAGGGTTAAAGCGGTTCAATTCGATCTAGTCTAATTTTAATTGGCACGAGAAGATTCATAACCGACCAGCCCGGGCTTTAGATTAATCACTTTTCATTTTATTTATTTATTCATTTTTCTTTTTGCAAATTTTCGGTGTAATCCTGTCATTTAGAAAACTTAGCCTGAAATTAATAGGCCCAAAAAATATAAACAATCAATGGGGGAAGAAGAGGATCCTATCCTATCCCGAGCTTTTGATTAATCAATATTTATTTATTTATTTTATTATTATTATTATTATTATTATTATTATTTTGCAAATTTTAGGTTTAATCCTATCAGTTAGAAAACTTAGAGTGAGATCAGTACACCCAAAAAATAGTCAACGAGGGTAGAAGATGGTCCCATCCCATCCCACGCCACACCAACCCTGGCCTTATCAGAATGAGAAGGGCCATTGACTAAGGAGAGGACTTATGAAAATGGATATTTCATTACATTGGAGGTCACTGTACTTTCATCCTAATTGGAATTGAGCCATTGAACTTCAATTTGGACTAATCAAGTCACTAAAGTTTAATTTAATAGCAATCTGGCCACTGTGTTTTGGTTCCGCTGATGTACCTATCAGAATTAGATAATATATTCATCAAAATTTAAAAAATGGCAATGCGTCTCATCCCAATCAACAAATTAACATTGGAAGTCACTGAACTTTCGCCTCAGCTGTAATCACGTCATTGAACTTATATACTTTAATATGAAGCAATCAAAATCGTAAATTATGCAATATTTTTAAAATAGCTATGATACACTCTCTTACATCTTACTATATAAACATTTTTATAAACCTTTGTTAATGTATCTGCTACATTAACCAGTGAAAAATTGAATCTTAGATTCATAACTTTTCAAATTTAATTAGTAAAACGCGTCAATAAAAAAATTAACCAAAAAAAATACAGTTGATCAATATCGCAAGAAAATTCAACATTGCATACGCAATTAAAATAAAAAATCAAGCAGTTCAAAGAAAATGTAATATAATTTTTCGGAAAACTAAACCCATAAAAATATAACTTACTAATAATGTGATTTGAAAAATCTATTAGATAAGGACAACAAATGTTAAAAGCTTGATATGCAATCCAACAAATAATATCATATCAGTGTTAATACCGACAGTGCGAAAGATTTCATAGTTAACAATAGGAAAGCGTCGCTAAATTTTAGTAAATCATCACGGTTGCTTTGTTATATGCGTCCATTCCTATTTGTTCTTACTTGCACCTTGTTTGGCAAGTTTTATAGAATATAATATGATAGTGTGGATTTTGTAATTATTATTGAATTATCAGGAGTTAACATCAAAATGGTCACTCAAATTTGTTCAAAATTTCAAGTTGATCTACAATGTATCTCTCTGAATCATTTAGGGGGCTCATTGGCAAGGCTTTTGGAGCCAAAATAAGTTTTTGAAATTCAAAAGCTGCTTTTAAAGTATTTAGCTTATTTCATAAATGTGATTCTTCTAGGTAGATGAGTTTTTAGGGATATGATTTTCTTTAAAAACACTTTAGGCCCCTGTTTGGTATCCATTTTTTTCAAAATGCATTTTTCTCTTTCTTCATTTTAACTACACATTTTTTATTAAAATAATATTACACGTAAATCAAAAACTTTTTCTTATTTTTTAACCACATATTTTTCATCAAATTACTATTCTAAAATGCATTTTTACCTAAAAATGTCAATCAAATACCCCCTAGAAATATGAATCTCTTTTAAAAACTAGTTTTCAAATAAAAGTTAAAGTAACGTTCACCTAAAAATATTTTTACAGAAAACAAAATCAAAAGTAAATCCCATATCAAACAGACTATTAATCTCTAAATCTAATTAACTTTGTATCATTGATTAAGATTGCAATTAGTGTCAAAGTCTAGTAACCTCTAATGTTATAATTTAACGATCGAGCTGGACATATTGGCATTTCATTAAGCCATTGTTTGATTTTCATTATCTAAAATTTCCTTTTTTTTTCCTCACTCATTTTTAATCATAAGTTTTCATAATAATATATTTTGCACGTAAATCCAAAATTTTTCAATTTTTTAACCACAAATTCATAAAAAATGCTATTAAAAAATTCTTTTTCAATTAAAATAATGAGGCTCAGACACATTCTAAGAGCCTGTTTGGGAGTGATTTTGAGAATTGATTTTTTGACCTTTAGGAGAAAAGTGGGGTCCACCTATGAGAGAAGAAGTCAAATATGACGACTGGAATAGTGAAATAACGGTCAAAAAATCAATTTTTTAGGTGAAAAAATGGGGCCCAAACAGGCCCTAAGTTTAATGGGCATGTCATCTAATTTCGACAGGGACATTAATGGAATCCAAATGGAGTGTCCAATTGCTTTTAAATTATTTAGCTTAGTGGCTTGATTGCTCCAAATATAAATTCAGTGACCCAATAGAACCTAAGGCAAAAGTTCAGTGACCTCCAATGTACATTTTGAAATAAATAAATAGGATATTAAGACAGGTGCCTCAAACCTCGATCAGTGAATTCAGATTCATTAATGTCCCCAAAAAAAGAGTTGACTTCTTTTTATGTAAAAGTAATTATTTTTTCCCAACTTCTTTTCCAACTTGTGATATAGGAAGAGATCTGAAAGTCTGAGGAACACTTTTGATCATATTGAAACGGAGGAAGAGAAGAAGAGGCAGCAAAAAATGGATCAGAACAAAAGCGCATTTCTGATTGGAATTATAGGTGCAGTACTCACTCTTTCTGCTTATTCCCAGACTCTGGTTTCTCCTACTCAATGCATCACAATTGGATTACTTGTTCTGATCTTCGGCCTCCTTGTTAGGGAAGGTCTCATCTCTCTTTAATTAATTATCTTTACTTTCATGTTTCCTGACCTTATATTTGGACTAATATTACTTAATTTCTACGGAGAATTGAGTAATTCGCTTTTATTTACGGAGAATCGACCTTGATATTTTGGAACGGGTTGTGTTTGGTGTACATAAGGGTATCGATAAATTCACATGGGTGCGGGATCTACTCGAATGGGATCCACGTGAAACCGACACCCTTATGTACATAAAATTATGAATTAAGCTATTTATACTTGTTTGTTAACACTTTGGGTTACCCCATCACTCCTCTTACATGAGGTCGGGTCCCATTTGGGGGTCATGAAGTGGGGTCCGACCTCATGTGAGAGGAGGAGGTGGTCTCGAGTAAGTCAAAGTGTAAACAAACAAGTACAAGGAGTATGATCATAAAATTATATACAAGTAGATTTATCTACGTTGTCTTCATAACCTTTTTCATTTGGAGAATCGATTGGGCTACTTAACTTTTATTTTTTGGCATGTTAATACGTTGAATTGATTAGATTGGTACGTGATTAAACGTAATATTCGTCTATTTCATGTGAAACATGACCTTAATGTTTTGGAACTTTGGGGCTGTTTCTCAATCCTCTAGCTTTTGAAAATACATCTGTTTTGTGCTGTTATAAGATTTTATTCATAATACGAGGAAGTTATATGTCCATAACAAGTGAGATTATGTATAAACCAGTTTAAGATAATGAGAGAATGATACTTTTTAAAATCGTCCCAACTATTTATTAGATTAAAATACTGAATTACTGAGCTTAAATATAAATAAAAAGATCATGCAATGATATAACTAAGATTCAAATCTAAAACACGTCATAACTCGTAAGCTAAAAATGCATTGTATAGAACAAGTCATCCAATAGAAGATCAAAATAAAATACTTGTGTCACTCTAGTTAAACCAATTCAATTCGAACAATCAATTTAATAATAATTTATGGTCCCATCTTTCACAGAGTCCAAAAACTAAACAACCCTTTCTAATGTGGGAGGGAAAACAGATTTTAGCAGTAAAAAGTACAAGCTCCATCCCACATCGTTTTCTTGATACCGAAATTTACTCCCTTTTATCTGAACCCAAAATTGGCCAGGGTAATTACGGGGGTGTTGGGCTGGGATTGTACGTGCATTGAATAACCCTAAACCATTTGATTAATTGAGATTAATCTTTCCTGAGGGGTTGTTTGCCTGGTGTTTATCCCCATTAAAATTAAAATCAAACACCAATGCCTGAGCGCGTGCAATTCTCAGGGTTGTTAACTACCCTAGAGTGGTTTATAGGTGGTGCTACTGGCATGTGGACACATGTTCGGTGGTCACTGGTTTCCTCGTCACTCTAGCACCCCATTTTCTATTTTAATNATTAAGTGATTTATTCCCAATTATGCACCAATGATGGGTATGGCAATAGGATGAGTATGAGACGGATCAGTCATTCTCACCATAGTTCTATTGGATATTTTTTGTTATCTTACTCTATACTCATACTTGATTAAAGCGGTACGGGACGGTTTCAGGGCGGGATACCTGCCCCATTTATATTCCCATTATTTATTTATTTATTAAGTCTTTAGATAATATATATTATTACTTTTTTATCAATATATTAAAAACAACTTATGTTCTCTTTAAAATATAATAAATCTATTATTTTTCATTTGATTAAAACTTAAATTTGAAATTAACATTAAAAGGGGTGGGTAATAGGGCCCGGTCTATGTTTTCCGTACTTGTTCCATACTCACTTCGAGACAATGACATTTGCTCCATACCCGCCTCATGTACCAGTTAGGTGAGTAATCCCCTCTCCATTTTGGGCAGAGGCCACGGGTTTCGGGTTGAATGCGGTTTTTTGTCATTCCTAATTAGTGAGGGCTAAAGCACCACCTTATGTGAAAAATTATAATATATCCAAACTAATTTAATAAAATATAAGAATATGGAAACTCAATCAATTAGATTTATCATTTCTTTCCAATCTAAATTAGTGTTATAGCACAGTGAACCTAGACATGGGGCTCATTTAATTGCCCTTATCATTTATTGAAACGTACACTGATATTAAATACTTTCTATCTAAAAAAATTTCCGGTTTACTCGGAATTTCTTCTTTTTCTTTAAAGAGCGAGGTTACGAATTGGATGATTATTGCGCTTATTCTTCCCAATTGATATGTCATAAAAAGAATTTCAAGTGAAAGAGCTCCATCCCAGCCATGACAGAAAGCCAGGCTGCTCATTGATCCAATGCTATCCATGTCCGGGCTTTAATTGATATGTCATTTACAAGAAAAGTAACGAAATCACTTGATAACATAGTTAGGAAATTATTAATTTATCATGTAGGCCTACATATATAACTAATTATATATAAATATTATCTTAAAGTTAAACCTAAAATTAATATGATCGATAAATAATTAAGTAATTAGGTTTAGAGTATCTAAATAAAGTGTGGGTGGGTTATAAGTGTAAAGATCAAATTCCTTTAAAATTATATTTCATGATGGGTGACATGCATATAAAAAATTATATATAGGCTATAGTCCCCAACTCATGCAATTTCTCATTCTTTGTGCAATCCCATCAACATAAGAATTTATAGAGAAAGTATATTAAAAATGAAGATCCAAAATTCGCATAAAGGAATTCAAAAATCAAGAAAGAAGAATTCAAGAATCCATAATCAAAGATAAAGATCCGAAAGACAAGATTTGAATATCATAATTCAAGATACAAATCAATGGATCAATGTATGTTCCGCATTAATAATTTATTTTGATGATTTGACATGGAGATTTTGACAATTACGTAAAGTTTATAAAATTTAAATTTTATAAATATTCAACAAGTGGTATCGGAGTCAATTCATGTTAAACCCTTGAGAATAAAGAAAAATTTTGGGATGTGAATTTCAAGCACAAAATTTTAAAATTTGGGATTTTTAAAGTATTTTTCAGAATGTAATTCATGATTCTCAGATATTGCTGTTACAACATGAATAAGGTGCAAAAGCATAAAAAAGAAAAAAAATTGAAATCCAAAATTAATTGGGTTTCTTCATTCTTTTCCAATCATGACATGATGTGATTTTTTATATTTGGCGGTAATAGTGAATTTACAATTGAAAATTAGGACTGGATAAAACTCCCGAACTGAACCGATCGAACCCGACTGTTCTTCTCAAGTTAAATACCCGAACGGGTATTTGAATAAAAAATCGACAGGTATGGTTCGGTTCTTGGTTTTACGCTAAGACCCGAAGAACCAAATAAGAATCGAATCTCTGTGATTTTTTTAATTTATTTATTTTAAATAAATAAAATTATTTTATTTTTTCTAAATAAATTTGTTAACTAGTTAATTTAGTTCAAACTACAAAATATGATTTTCCTATTTCTAATTTTCAGTTCAAAATCAATTTAATCAAATTGACCTCAATTTTATCCAAATATATTATTCTACTGTAGTGTCGTTTCTACCGGAGAAAATCGAATTAAAGTTCCACAACATCTCTCTTAATTATTTTGAGCTAGCTATCTTTATCTTTCTGTGATTTTCATAATCAAATTTATGAAAAATTCAGCAAAGAGAGATGTGAAACACATAAGATTGAACTATGTTATTTTGTAAGAGCTAATATTGAACATATCATTAATTAAATTAACGTAACTTGTATATATTAAAAATTTTAGTTATAATACAGAACCGAATGGAACCGAACCGGACCGAACCGAATGGGACCAAACCCGAACGGTTCCGTAATTAAATTTGGACCCAATGGTTCCACTTACTAAATACCCGAACATTTCGGATCGGTTCTCATCAGAACCGAACCGAATCGGATTATGTCCAGCCCTATTGAAAACAAAAATTAAGCACAATTTTCTTTTTTTTTCTTTTTTTGCTCATATTTTAATTTGAACCAAAGTTAGACAGTCAATTTTAATCACATTTTCTATAGTTCCCACAACTTTTCAACCGCACATTTCAAAAACTTCTATCAAAATTTATTAAAAATCTAATTTTAATCCCTACCAGTCATCCTCTAATTTTTTAGCATTACGTGAATTAATTTAATCTCACAGAAAGAATTAAGATAGTAGATTTTTCTTGAAACTGATGCATTGTAGGCACTTGAGTGGTTTATTTGAATAAAGCCACTTGTACACTCTTTTTATACATCATCGTGCACATCATCCAAGTTGGCAACGTGTGATTGACGGAAAGTTTGATTTAAAAAAAAATTGTCAAATTGAAGCTTGACACATGGAGGAATGTACACAAAGTTGTACACTATGATGTACATGAAGCATTGGTGAGTTTATTTTGTGTCTGTTGGAAAGTACGGGTAATGGGTCGTCCATGTGGGGTGACCCGACCCACAAGATTTCAAAAGTGGGAAGAAAGGAATGTTTTAAATAGAATTTAAATTCATAACTCCCCACAACTCCCTGAATAACCACTTGAAACTTCCATATAGAAGTTATGGAAAAGTAAGGGAAAATGAAAGACATGAAAAAAATGGTGAAAAAAATTCGCATGGAAATTCACCTCAAAATTGGAAAGTTCCAAGAATCACATTTTTGGCATGAAATCTCACAAGAAATGGTACTTAGATTGTGGACAATAATCATCTTCCATTGTGATTGAGATTTGGACCATTGGAGTGCAAGAAAATGCAGATTTTAGAGATTTGAAAGCAAAGTAATTCAATCTCGATTTTTCGATTTCAAGTAAGTATCACTACTTGGAACTCGGTTATAAGCATACAAGCAAGTTTTACATTGGTATCAGAGCCTAAGTAGGTTTTTTTCTTGCTTAAATACACGCTGAAAATGTCCTAGAATAATTGAAATGCATGAATTTTGATTTTCTTTCAAAACTTGAATGCCCATTAATGGCAACTTTTCATGTACTTCATATTAATTCATGAAATTTATACTGTATGTTCATGATATTATGTAGAACATATCTGAAAAATTTCATGTTATTTTGGCTTTGTATTTTTAGAGGAAAATCGAATCCTAGTTGAAAAAATCGAAAATTCATTGCATGATATTTTCTTATAC